TGGCCAAAAAGGAGAGACTACACCATTTCTAACAGATGGCGTCCAGTCTCTTCTTGAAAGCTTCCAGGGATGAAGCTCCCACAACTTCTGGAAGCAACTTCTCTTCCATGGGTTGATTGTTCTCACCCTCAGGAAATTCCTCCTCCTTTCTAGGTTGAATCTCTCCTTGGCCAGTTTCCATCCATTATTCCTTGTCCGGCATTCAGGTGCTTTGGAGAATAGCTTGACCCCCTTCCTCTCTGGGGCAGCCCCTCAAATATTGGAAGGCTGCTATCCTGCCTCCCCTGGTCCTTCTCTTCACTAAATCAGCCATGCCCAATTCCTGCAAACGTTCGTCATATGTTTTAGCCTCCGGTCCCCTCGTCATCCTGGTTGCTCTTCTCTGCACTCTTTCTAGAGCAGTGTTTCTCATCCTTGGCAACTTGAAGATGTCTGGACTTCAACTCCCAGAATTCCCCAGCCAGAATTCTGGGAGTTGAAGTCCAGACATCTTCAAGTTGCCAAGGTTGAGAAACACTGTTCTAGAGTCTCCGCATCTTTTTTTTATAGTGAGGTGAACCAAAACTGGACACAGTATTCCAAATGTGGCCTTACTAAGGCTTTGACTTGTCTTGTCAGGGGCAAGTTAAAAAGTCATATAAAATAAACCACAGACAACGGAGACCCATTAATTTTCTTCCTCCCCGTTCCCCTTTTGTTTAAATTTTAAAAAATATATATCATCCTGTATTCTTCTCTATTTGCCAAACAGCCCTAATAGCAAAGCTGCCTTCAGCACCACGGACAGCATCATTCTCCTTCCATTGAAACCATCAAGATTTAGGACAATTCCGGGTTGGGCCGCCTTGTGAACCTTTCAACAAGGGGAGTTTTGACATGTTTGGGCTCCAGGCGTTCCATCTTAGATGTGATAGAAAGTGAAATCTCTGTCTGAGCGTACACACACACACAGAGACACACACGCCCAAATGCACACATGAGAGGAAAGCAAAACTTGTTCTACTTATAGCCGGAACCTCATGTGCCCTTTCCCGACAAGGAGGGGGGAAATGTGAATTATGCATGAGGACTAGAAGCTCGCCTTGGCTGTTTGGTTGTTGCCCGGGATGGTGAATTTGGAAGACAAGCAGGCACGCGAGGAATTTGGGCGGTTCCTCTGCCCGAACAGCTGAACGTACACGGGTTTACATCGGAAGGCCCTCGACGTATATTGGGAGTAAGTTAGGCTGCTAGGATTCAGATATAATGAAATGGGGCCTTGAACAAGATTGTGTGTTTGTGGGTGCTTATGTGTGTTTCTTTGATAACGCTGTTGGCTCTGGAGATTGGAGTGCATACAAGTAGGCCTTGACTCATGGCCACAATTGAATCCCAAATTTATCTTGCTAAGTGAAAAATCCATTAAGTGAGTTTTGCTCCATTTTATGGATTTTGCTTGCCACAGTGTGTTAAGGGAATCACGGCAGCTGTTAAGTAACATGGTTGTTAAGTGAATCTGACTTCCCCGTTGACTTGAAAGCCAGCTGGGTAACTTTGGGTCAATCCCAATGGGGTTCTCAGCCCAGGCCACCTCACAAGGCTGTTGTTGTTGTTGTGAGAAAAACATGAGAATGAAGGGGTATTTCATTACATTTGTAGCCTTGAGTTATTTCCAAAAATAATAAAGGCAGGATTTAAAAATATGTTTTAAAAGGGCATTTTCATAAGAATGTGGGGAAAAGGTTGCAGAGCCTGAGAAAGGAAGGGTATTTTTAGGAGTCAAGGATGCCTTTAAGAAACACTTTCTCTCTTCCCACATCTATCCAGACGGGCAGATAAAGTGACTTCCGTACCACATTCCTGCCTCCTTTATAAATGTGGCATCATCTTTGTGCCTGGCGTGTCGCCACAACCCACAACTGGCTGTCATGGCAACGGCACAATCCAGGGACAATGCAGACCTGTGATCCAATCCCTTCTGTGTACATGAAGATTGAATGGCGAGAGAGAGAGAGAGAAAGAGAGAAAAAGAAAGAGAGAAAGAGAAAGAGAGAAAGCAAAAGGAAGAGAGACAGAGAGAAAGAGAAAGAAAGAGAGACAGAGAGAAAGAGAAAGAAAGAGANTGAAAGAGACACCTACAATAGAAAAAGAAAGGGAGAGAGGAGGAGAGAATGAGAGGAAGATGGGGGAAAGAAGAAAGAGGAAAGGAGAGAAGGATGGAAGGTAGAGAAGGAAGAGAAGGAGACGGGGTAGGAAGGGGAAGAGGAAGAGGAGGAGCGGGAGAAAGGCAAGGGAAGAAGGAAGGGAAAGGAGAGGAGGAAGGAAGGAAGTAGAGAAAAGATGGAGAGAGGGAGAAAAGAAAGGGAAAATAAGGTGGTGTTACAACAGGTAGAAGGGATGATAAATAAAGCAACCCAAACTGTATATTACAACCTATTAAATGAAATAACAAATGTACAAGAATGACAAATGTAAAGAAGAAGAAGAAGAATTATGTGAATGTATACTTAAAATGGTATGTAAGAAAACAAAAAAATTTCTGGAGAAAAAAAAAAGAATTCCCGATTGAGTGAAAGCCATCACTTTCTCCGGCTACGATGAACCTGCGAAACAGTGACAGCTAACCCTCGACTTACGACAGTTCACTTAGTGACCAACGTTACAAGGGCACTGAAAAAAGTGAGTTATGACCTCTTTTCGTACATGCCATCCTTGTAATGTTCCCATGATTCCCAAATTTGGATGCTTGGCAACTGGTTCATACAGGTAATCCTCGACCTATGACCACAATCCAGCCCCAAATGTCTGTCGTTAAGGGAGACATTTTTTGTTAAGTGAGTCTTGCCCCATTTTACGAAGTTTCTTGGCACGGTCGCTAAGTGAATCCCTGCAGCTATTAAGTTAGTAATCCGTTTGTTAAGGGAACCTGGCTTCCCAGATTCTTTGCCTGTCCAAAGGTCGCCAAAGTAGATCTCGTGACCCCAGGGACACTGCAACGGTCATAAATGCGAGTCAGTTGCCAGGCGTGTGAATTTGGACCATGTGACTGTAAATCGTAATTGTGACCAATGGCCCTACGTCGCTTTTTTCAGTGCCGTTGAAACTTTGGTCACTAAATGAACTGTTGTAAATCGAGGACTGCCTGCATTTGCGACGGTTGCCATGTCCCGGGATGACATGCAGAGTCAACGGGGAAGCCAGATTCACTTAACAACACAGATTCACTGTGGCAAGCGAGGTCGTAAAATGGAGCAAAACTCCCCTCACCACCCTCTTGGATAGCAAGGGCTATTTCAAGCTCAAATGGTGGTCGTAACTCGAGGACTCCCTGCATTGTGGTGTTTAGCCTTGAGGCCCGTCAAGGAATTGTGTCATTTTGTGTAACTTTCAGAGGAGAAGGGCAAAGGGTGATAAGAGGGCCGGAAGCTGCAGCTGGGATCTAGTCTTTTTGTTCCTCTCTAAGCATTTATTAGCCTAGAGGCGATTCTGGGCTGCTTGGAAATACTCAAAGCCAGAAAACATGAAAAGAATAAATAGCAACAACAACAACAACATTTTTTACAATTAAAAGATGGGGGAGAAGAAGGGATCGAGATACACACAAGGAGAGGTGAGGTCTTCTCTTAATCCAATATCTTTCCCCCATAACCGTAACCCCAGCATCAAACTACAAATAAATTATTCTGCAGAAAAGCTAAATCACATTCTCCGGGACGAGCCCATTCCACAACTACCTTAATTCTCCAACTCAGCCCTGAAGCTGCAACAACAATCAGCAACTTAATAGCCATCAACACCCTAATTAACAACTAAAAGCTACACACACAATCCAGCACCATATAAATACAATGGGTACAACAGTCAGAATCATACGATAACTCAGTTGGAAGGGGCCCGGGAGGTCTTCTAGTCCAACCCCCTGCTCAAGCAGGAGACCCTATGCTGTTTTCAGGCAAATGGTAGTCCAATCTCTTCTTAAAAACCTCCAATGTTGGAGCAGCCACAACTTCTGGAGGCAAGTAGTTCCACTGATTAGTTGTTCTCACTGTTGGAACATTTCTCCTCAGTTCTAGGTTGCTTCGCTCCTCAATTAATTTCCATCCATTGCTTCTTCTCTGCAGAATAGGAATAGGAATAGGAATAGAATCTGTTGCTTCAAAACATCCCACCCAAAACTTCTGCAGAAGTTTTTTGCCCAAGCAAAGAATATTTCCAAGGGGGCAAATCGGGGAGCGCAGGATGATTGTAGCACCCCTGGTTGGGATGGAGAGGAGACCCCTCCCCATTTTTTTTGCAGGCTGCCATGCCCAAATTTTAAAAACGCGGAGGCCATTCTCCGTCTTCGGCAACAGAAACTGGAAATCTGGACTCTTGCTTGCAAAAGTGAGATTCCTTTTTCCGATGCCAGCGATTCTGCACGGGAAGTCCTCGGGTTACGGCCACAACNTTCTGTGTACATGAAGATTGAATGGCGAGAGAGAGAGAGAGAAAGAGAGAAAAAGAAAGAGAGAAAGAGAAAGAGAGAAAGCAAAAGGAAGAGAGACAGAGAGAAAGAGAAAGAAAGAGAGACAGAGAGAAAGAGAAAGAAAGAGAGAAAGAGAAAGAGAGAAAGAAAAAGGAAGTGAGACAGAGAGAAAGAGAGAAAGAAAGAGAGAGAAAGGAAAAGGAAGGGACAGAAAGAGAGAAAGAGAAAGACAGAGAGAAAGAGAGAGAGAGAAAAGAGACAAAGAGGCCACCTCATACTTTTTCAAAACATTTTCTTCTGGTAATAGAAAAAATGCAGATCTTTCTCTAAGCAGCTCCTTTTCTATAAAAGCATGAATTGGTTTGGGGCTGTTTATTTGTTTAATCAGAAGGCAAGCTGTGTTTTTGCCCTTTTTGTTGATTTATTTTATTTTTATTTGTTTATCAAACTTATTGGCCGCCCATGTGGCAGATGAGGCAACTTTTTAAGGTTTTATTTTGAGAGAGGAGATATTCTGATGTGTTTTTATTCTTTCCCTCTCTTGATTTCCTCTAATTTTAAGTGTTTCTACGCTGATAAATGTGTTTTTATATTCTTATTTTATTGCACTGTAACTTGCTCAGAATCGCTCTCAGATAGCGTGGTGGGTGGCTTATAAATTTAATCAATAAAATCAAAATATGCATTGCTGAAATGTAACAGGCCCAGGTTTACCATGCAGGAGAAATGGAGAACTGTTTTAAATATCTTTCAGAAAGAATCCGTTGGAATTGGTATTTGAAAAGGGCCTGACTGTCAGTCCACGTGCTGGGCCTGAATTTAGATCCCTTTTCAAACGTAGCAAATAATAGAAAGAGAAGTCTAGTTTGACAGCCCTCTGCAATGTTTAATCATCAATTAAAGACCAAAATAAGCACGACGTCTCCCAGGTGACTCTCGGCTGTACCAGCAAAATGGTAAAAAATAGCACACAGTCTGAATGTTCGGCGCTCGGGAAAAACTGAATGAAAATGAGAGGTGATGAAAAGCCTTCGTAACGTTTCGGGTGGAGATTTTCAGAAGCATCTGCTTAACTTTTAGACTTCCAATATTTTGCAACCAATGGATTGGTAAGGTAACAGGAGCCTATATATATATAAAATCTTTCTCAAATAATAATGCTGTGGCAGAATCTGATAGCATCTAAATGCTTTGGATTACACTCCTTGAATTTCTCTGCTCTGGGGATGATGGGAATTGTGGGCTCATCCGGGTTTTTTTAAACTTGGCAACTTTAAGATGGGTGGACTTCAACTCCCAGAATTCCCCAGCCAGGATGCTATTGAATTTTAAGATACATTAATGTCAACTCCCAGAATCCCCCAGCCAGCCTGCTAATGAACTGTAAGATGGGTGGACTTCAACTCCCAGAATCCCCCAGCCAGCCAGCCAGAATTCTGGGAGTTGAAGTCCACTCATCTTAAAGTTGCCAAATTTTTTTAAAAAAACCCTCTGGTCTTAATCTATTTGAAGAGCCTCAGATTTGGGGCAAATTAAGCGAAATGCCCTTTGCTCTAATCTCTTTTTTCTTTCCCAAAACTATACATTTTCCCACCAGTAAATGAAAAAACCCCACCAGTACGAAATACTCACCTGCTTGGCTCGATCGGGGTTCATGGTGGTCTGTGGCTGCAGGATATTGACGGACTCGGGTTTCACCACTGACTGGGGGATTTCTCGGACTTTCTCGGCAATGAAGTTGTGGACGGCATTGAGGGCTTCGGCTGTGCCTTGCACCAGGCATACCCGCTCGGTCGTCCCTGCGTGGAGGGGGGCGGAATCACATTTTAAATTGGGACTCGGCATGGAGTGACAAGCGACCACAAATTCCTATGGGCAGCATAAAAATGTAATACAGGCCGTCCTTGATTTACAACGGTTCATTGAGTAACCGTTGGAAGAAGGGAAGAAGGAACGGCGGTGCTGAAAAAAAGTGATTTGTGGCCATCTCTCGCACTTACGACTGTTGCGGCATCCCCCTGGTCATGTAGTTAGAACTCAGCCTCTCGGCAAGTGACTCGTATTTATGACGGTGGCAGTGTCCCGGGGTTATGTGATCCGCTTCTGACAAGCAAAAACCAGATTGAAACGGTGTGGCTAACTTTACGACCGCAGAGATTTACATAACAACCGTGACGAGAAAGGTGGTGAAATGGGGCAAAGCTCATGGCAGCTGTCCTGCTTACCAAAGGAAATGGGGGGGGGGATTAGAGTCGTAAGTCGAGGGTTAGCTGTGAATAAAATTCGGAGCAAAGAACGGAAGGCATTCCGGAAGAGGAACTGCTCGCTGGATCCGTCCCGCAGGATTCTGGATTCAGGGATCTTGCAACAAGAAAGATTTTTCCCCGATCCCACTTCTTGCAAATAAGGAGTCCGAGGGTTCTGGACCCCCATCCTGTTTTTATGGACCCCCCCCCCCAAAAAAAATTGATGGTCCAGCTTGTCTGCCTTCCATTTTGTGTAGGAAAGACAAAATAGCCTAACATTTATTTTTATCGGGATGCCCTTTTCTTTGGCTGTGTTGACACCCGAGTTCAAAACGCCAAGCCAAACACTCCCGGCGTCTTTCCGTCCAAAGTCTTTGCCCTTAGGATGACATGGCCCTGCCCAGTTGGCACCGTGGCCCTGCCCACTGCCGTTCTGGTTCTCCCCGTGTGGCCCGGTTGTTATTTAGAGGCGATGATGCCAACCTTGCCAGGACTTTGGGCATGCAAAGCAGGGGCTTTGAGAGTCAGCTTCGGGGAAGTGAAGCAGGGAAAGAGCAGAGAGAAGGGAAGGATGGCTCTGAAGGGGAAATGCGGCTTTGGGGGGGCAACAGAAGGAGGTTGCAGCACGGAAGGAGGGGGGAAGAAGGGGGGAGAAGGAAGGAAGGAGAAGGAGAAGGAGAGAGGGAACAGAGAAAGGAAGAGAGGGAAGAAGGAAGGAGAAGGAAGGAAGGTGGGAGAAGGAGAAGGTAGGAGAAGGAGAAGGAAGGAAGAAAGGAAGGAAAAGGAGGAGGGAGGGAGGAAGAAGAGGAAGAAAAAAAGAGAAAAGAAAAGCAGGAGGAGGAGAGAGAGGAAGGAAAGGAGGCAGAAGAGGAGGAGGAGGAGATAAGGATGTCTAGAAGACTGAACCCTCCAACAAATTGCTTGCCCCACTCAACCTCCCCCAACCCCAAGATGGGTCCCGCATCCTCAGCTTCTCTTCCCCGGCTTGCGATTGCCATGGCAACCCAGGGCGGCTCTCCCCGCCCTCCGCCACCTCCCAATCCATGGCGGCTGGCCTCCAGGGCCCATTGCCACGGCAACCGGCACCCCCTCATTGTCAAAAAGGAGGCAGCTTGGTGGGGGAGGGGTGGAGGCTATCGCCAAGGCAACCAGAGGATGATGAAAAGAGGGGACCACTTTGCCCACGTGGCCTTGGAGAGACGGGGAGGGGGGGGTCTCATCCAAAGCCGGCTGCGGGGGAGGTGTGAAAAAGAGGCATTTGGGGAGGAGACAAAGCCCCCCACCCCATATTGGAATCCATCCACAGCATCTTCTGTTGGAAGGGGGGAGGCCCTCTTGGTTGATGGGAAGCTGCCCTGGTGGGTGTGTCCCTGAGCATGTGCAGAATGTGTTTCTCGGCACCTCTGGAATTAAGGCAGAGACCCCTCCCACCCTTGAGACGGGGTGTGTGTGTCCCACCGTTCATTGTCCTCCCTCCCTGGTAGAATGAAGTTCCTCCTTCATTCAAGGCTGCTTCTCTCCTTAGACTGGACTGGACTAGAGAAGAGAATTAGAATAGAAGATAATGGAAAATAATAGAAAATGATAGAAAATGATAGAAAATGATAGAAAATGATAGAAAATGATAGAAAGTAGAAAGTAGAAAATAGAATAGCATAGAGAATAGAATAGAAATATAATAGAATAGAAATANTTGTCTGGAACGGTATAAGGTTTCCTGCCTAGGCAGGGGGTTGGACTAGAAGACCTCCAAGGTCCCTTCCAACTCTGCTATTGTATTGTATTGTATTTCTGAGGATCATCAAATGCTTTGGCGCCCACCTCGCAGTTCAAGGCACCTGTGGAGTCTATAAGCAGATGACTTCTCTCCATCCCTCCGGCTTACAATCCCCTCTCAACACACACACACATCACAACGACAACAGAAAATTAAATCAGCTTTGGCGCTTGTCCGGGGAAGCATATGGCGAGCGGCGCAACGGGCGCGCGGGGGAGAAAGTCTGCTCTCTTATCCGGCACTCCAAATCCGTCCCTTCACTTTCGCTCAGGAGTTATCTATTTTTACCTGACCCGAACGGAGGGGTGGCTCTTGCACGGAGCTTACTCCAGGAGGAGGAGGGTGACCTACTTCTTCCCCTGCCTCTCTCTCACCTATGCTGGGGGAAGAGGCGATGGCAGAGCTGGTGAGAAGGACATGGGACCTGCTCCCACCACTCCCCCCGGGTGCAATGCTAAACGAAAGCCTTCCATTGGGAGAGAGGGAGAGAGCAGATCCCTCGTTCGCACATGCACACAAACACACCTTCTCTATCCTCCCCCCCCCACTTTAAAAAACAAAGACCCCACAGCACAACCGAGCCCCTTGCCCTGCTTTCCTTGGTGACCACAGAAGACAAGGTGAGGTTCCCCATGGATCTCTTCAGGGATTGTTCAGGACAGAAGAAAAACAGCGACAGATGGGATCCTTTGACGGAAAACTCTTTAAAGCAGTGGCCTCCAACCTTGGCAAGGTGAAGACTTGTGAACTTCAACTCCCAGAATTCCCCAGCCAGGATGACTGGGAATTGAAGGCCATCCACCTTAATGTTGCCAGGATGGACACTCTGGAGTCAGGAACTAAAAGTTGGGCGATTTAGTTTCCTCTAAATCCGGGGATTCCTACCTTGGCAAGATTAAGACTTGTGGACTTCAACTCCCAGAATTCTGGGAGTTGAAGTCCTTCCATCTTAACGTTGCTAGGCTTAAACACTCCTAATTTGGAGTCAAAAACTAAAGACGAGCTGATTTAATTCCCTCTAACTCAGGGGCGTCCAATCTGGGCAACTTTTAAGACTAGTGGACTTCAACTCCCAGAATTCCCCCCGCCAACTAATATAGCCGGCTGGGGAATTCTGGGAGTTGAAGCCCGCCAAGGCTTAAAATTGCCAAGGTTGGAGACTCCTGCTCAAAGCACCTCTAGGAAGTGGGAACTTTTAAACTCCACAAGACTAAATTGCAAATTCCGAACTGAGCCGGAAGGGACCTTGTGGGGTCTTCTAGACCAACCTCCTCCTGCTCAAGCAGGAGAATTGATACAATTTTAGACAGGTGGCTGTCTTTCTTGAAAACCTCCAGTGATGGAGCACCCACAACTTCTGAATCTTATTCCCACAATCTTATGAAAATGCCTTTTTTAAAAAAAATCTACCTTTATTGTTTTTGCAAATAACTTAAGGCGACAAACATAACCA